GAAAGAAAGAAATCAAAGACCACATCTTCTTTTGCATTACTTGGACATCCATATAGTAAAATATGAATTGTAATCACACTGGATTTCCAGCCATAATCTGCCATCCCCTGATATAATATTATGTAGAACTGACAATGAGTAAATTCTTTATTTGCAACATGGATGGACTCACTAATGTAGCGCTGCCTCAAGTCAGTCAGTACAAAAGGCCACATGCAGTGCAGCACGCTTCCACGAGTGCCGAAGGTCAGCAAACACCACGTGTGTTCAACTGTCTTCAGGGAAAGGTACACTGAAGCCCCAGCTCTCACAGTCTTTACCAAGGTAAAGTTGGGCTCAGTCCAGTACACTGGGTAACTTTTTTTTTTTTTTTTTTAATTTAGGGCAGAGTCTACATGGTGTACAGGGTCTCACTACGCAGATCAGATTCATAGTGATTCTCCTGTGTTCAGCCTCCCAAAGTGCTGGGATTACAGGCGCACACCACCAAGCCCAGTCTCAATCGCAGCCGTCTCAGCGCGCCCCAGCAGTGGGGCTGTCACAGCACGCCGGGGATCAAATCCTGGTCACTGAGCTCTGCCTAAGCAGGAGCTACAGTCTGCTGAGCTATCTGGCCAGCCCTGAGTATCTTTATAAAAGGGAGATGTACCCACGAGATGCACACACAGTGGGAGAAATGTGCAACGGCACACGGGAGGCTGGCACACGAGAGCGCAGGCGACGGTGGCCACAAGGCTGGGCTCAGCTCTGAGCACAGCAAGGGCAAGAGGGGATGTACAGAGGCCAAGGTGCACAGTGAGGACTCAGTGGCTGGAAACTTACTGCAAAGAGGCCCTCAAGGGACTTGTGTAAACATGATCGATCAACAGGACTCTTGCTAACCTCAGTCCAAGAGCTCAGATACCAAGGCTGGAGGTGAAGGCTTGATGGGAGTGGGGATCCCATGCAGCAGGGCCAAGGCCTTCTAGGCATTAGATTTTTATCTGTTCTACACCCTGTCATCATCCAAAGCCATTGGCTAGGTTTTGAAGAGCTTCCTGGAGAAGTGCAGGCTTCATCAATTTAATGTAATCTTCTGGGAAGCAGAATGACCAATCATGCGCCTTGTCAGTTGAACAGGCTGTCTCAGAGACCTGGGTCCAAGCCTCTGTGTGTAACCTCCTTTGTATGCAAGAGGCTTGAGCCCTTGTTTGGCCGCTTTGGACCCCTGGATTTTGTCCCTTTCACTTGCATTATGCTGAACTAGAATTTAACACTCATTTCTTAACAGTTCGCCTACCCGTTCCACCCAAGGGCTGCAGCCCGAGTCCCTCTGCAGTGCGACCCTACTACAGTCACCCCCTGGGAGGGCTTCCACTCTCGTCTAGGCCACAATACAGGAGTTCTGAAGACAGCCTGCCAACTCAAAGGCATCTTACGAACAGCCTGTCCGGGTTTCCTAAGAACCAACAGAGGAGCTCGCTAAAGGAGACGATTCGCAAATACAACTCATTTCACGGAATGGTAAATACAGGTGTATTCCTGTTCGGACACAGATTTTCAGTCCAAGCACTCTTTCTCAGAAGACTATGACATCATAAGATTATGGGAACTGCAAAAAAGAGTGTACTTAATTTAGCCAAGATAATCTCCAAAACTTAGCAGTGTCCAAATGCATTCATAAAATGGGGCTTACCTACAATTCCCACTTCTCATACTCAGAAAAGAAAGGGTCCTCTGTGTGTTTCAAACACTTGCAGATAAATCAGAGGCCTGCCTGCCTCCCTCAGCCCCTGCACCCCACACGGACGCGGCTCTGCCACAGAGTCTTTGCTTCTGGCCTCCACCCTGAGACTCATCAATCTTATGTTCAGACAGAGAGCCTGAGAACCAGTGTTAAAACATGGTTCTTCTGTGCCACAAACCTCTTCTCAGAATAGTATTTCAGCCCAGTGCACGCTTATAATTCCAGCACTGTGGTGGCTAAAGCAGAAAGATTGTTACAAGTTCAAGGCCGGCCTGGGCTACAAGATGAGACCCTGCCTCAAAAAGAAAAGAAGGATAGTATTTTAAAGGGCACAAAAGGTCCAGGGAGATAGCTCAGCAGCATAAATACCTGCCTAGCAAGTGCAAGGTCCCAAGTTCAACCACCACTACCAAAAATAAATAAACAGCCCAAAAATCAGAATTGCAAAAGATACTATGTTAAAGTTATCAATAATTTTTTTAAATCAGGAGACCATAGCTAGTTAGAGTACTGTAACAGTGGCTCCCCTGGTCGCCACCTGTGTGGCAGAGTCTTCCAAATGGACTCTGGCCTGCCTTCGGGCTTGCTTAACCTGAGCACAACACAAGTGGTGTGGGACCTGGCTGGCCCCAGCAGAGCACCGTCATCAGGACCACAGGCTGGGCCTGTGGACCACGCGGCCCCCTGTGCATGCCCCAGATCCGGGCACCCTGAGCTGCGCAAGGCTGAGCCACACCCTTGCCCTGGACAAGTCCATGGAAACTGTCCAACTGGCATAGCACGACCGCTGTGCCACAGAACTGTGTGGTGGTGTTTCAGCTCCTAAATGTTGGGGCCACTTGTTACACCGTATCACAGATCCAGGAGCTGCCCTATTGGCACAGCGCATGATCAGATCTGGCAGTGCCATAATTTCACACCCATGGTGGCACTGCGCGGTACCTGCAGGAACTGAGACACCAGAAAATGCGTGCACTTCGCTGATCACAAAATACTGATGACACTAACGCCACCGAGGTTTATTGTCTATGTTCAGGTAGGAAGAAAACGCCAAATTTCTGTCTGAGTTTAGTGAAAATAAAGAAAGCAATTGTTCTGCCCTACCAACTTTAGAGGCTTCCAGAATCCTGTCCACAGACTCCCAGAACCTAAGGTAAGATACACTTCTGCTTCTCTCTATCATTCGAGTCTTGGTCCGAATGTTGCCTCCTCCCAGGGGCCTTCCCTGAACAGCTAATGTGAACATCACGGGTACCTTACACTTCATAGACCAGTATGTAGCACAAAGTATATACTCAGAAAAGAACAGCTAAAAGAACAGCACTGGCCGGGGAGATAGCTCAGTAGAATAAGCCCTTCCCTGGCAAGCGCAAGGGCCCGAGTTCAATCCCCAGTTCTGCAAATAAATAAATAAATGAACAGCACTAACTACTCCTTAACATTAGCTATGTACTTACTTTTTTGTGCATTTTGCATTTACTATATTAGAATAGTACATTTCCTTTTGCCTCTAAATAAAATGGCCCTTTTCTGTCTTGTTCATAGTTGTATCCCTGGTACTTGGCATGTTTTAAGCTTCTATAACCATAGAATGGATAATAAAAGAGCATACAAAAAATTAAAGATAATATTTAAAGGATTAAAACACCTGCTTTGGGGCCAGGGGTTTGATTCCCGGGCCAGCTGTGCCTGCCCCACCCCTGGGGTGCACTGAAATGATGATTGAGACCGGGCGTGGTGAC